GGGCCAGAAAACCATCATGGCCCCCCTTAACTGGGATTAGCTCCCCAAAACCCCCACACAAACCCCCCCGCTCTTCCCCCCTTCCCCCTAATCCCAACCAGAGGTGCCACGGGCAACAATCCACTGATTACTTCTACTAAGCACACAGTTAAACTCTTCTAAATTTAAAACTTAAAAGTCCCGAAAAGGGCAGTCATAAAAGAGCAAAAGTTCCAACGAACTAGCTCAAGTAAAATATCCAAAACATCCTCCTCCTACTGAAGCTTGGGCTGAGGGCTTGGTTTGGAAACTCCAAAACATCCTCAAACTACCCCTAACCTTCGTTCAGTTTGTGGCAAACTTTCCCCACTAGAGAAAGTTTTTCATAACTGAACGAAACAAAATTCTCCATCCGATCCATAAAAGCAGGTGTCCCACAGGGCGCCCCGCTTTCCCCAACTTTTTACAACTTATACACAGCTGATGTTCCAAAAAGCCCCCATCCCGAACAATCCCAAAACTCCACTTCAAATTTCCTAATAGTCTAATGACAGACCCCCCTTGAAAACAACTACCTTAAGAAAAAAAAAACCGGCTTAATGAAAAACAAAATTTAAACACATTAAAGATAAACAAGGCCAATTTCCATGCCAAAAAAGCCAGTTTCTTCCAAACTACCCAAAACTTACCTCTTCTTTTTCAGTGGATTTTTTTTTCTCATTTACTAATCTCAGGCAAGTAATCCCCTACCTCACCCAGGCGTACTGATAGGTCAGCACTAAAGACAAAGCCTTAACTGGCTAAGTCTAACAAAACTTTCAACACACGGCCTACTGAAGCTCTCGAGTGGGCAAACCGCCCACTCGAGATGAAAAAAAAACCCTAGGAATAATTTATATGGCAAAACAACGTTTGCCGGGTCAGCTACTACGTCTATAAAAATTAAAAGTATAAAATTATACCTACAGTGATATTTTAAAATACATGTTCAATATGATTTCCGTTAATGTATAAGCAACTATTAATATCTAGGTTTTTGAAATGAATCGCTAACGCAGTTCAAAACAATATTATTAATGCTTCGAAAAACAGTTGCGATTCGTTCCTTCATGTCATCTTTTGTAGTTGGAGATATTTTATAATTTTTGTTTTTGACGTAAGCTCATAAAAAGAAATCCATTTTTGTCAAATCGGGTGAACGAGGAGGCTATTGAACAGCCCACCTCTACCTATCCACCTTTCAGGAAATTCATTATTTAGGTATTGATGAATTTGAGCTGTATGGTGAACTGGAGCTCCATCATGTAAATACAACAATCTTTCCTTAATATAGTTAGGTAAATGATCAATTAAACGTGGCAATTCAAATTTTGACACTTATTCATTGACTTCCATAGCTACCTTACAAAATGTAACAACTTTTTGAAATTTTTAAATAAAATAAATTATAATTTGAAAACTGTTGATTTCATAGCTTAAAGTGTCAATTAATTAGTAACTTTTGTCTAAGTCAACAAATTAGTAACTTTGTAAATTGTCGTTCTAATGACGTATTAATATACAGGTACTTCCATTTGAAAAACAAAAGTTATATTGCGTTAAAAAGTTTTAGATTGAAGTCCACATTGTTAACACCCTGTACAATGTATTGATATTTTGGTTCAATATAATTGTTAACGGATCTGTGGTGAGTGGAAAGACGTGTTTTTTTTTGTATCTTTGACTTCTTTTTCTTGCTTCTACAATGAATTTTTAGATATTATGTTTTTAAGCAAAATTTTACTAAAATGGTGATAATCTGCCAACGTCGCAAGTAAGAAAAAAACAATTTACTGTGCATATGCACCGTTTCAAGCTGCATTCCATGAGCTAATAAAAAATGGGTAGTTCTATTTAAAGAAATACACTTTGATCTTGTCTCGCTTTTCTGAGACACTCTGTATCATATAAGATATTTTTTAAATGTGCGCACTTTGTGTGTCAACAACTTTTATATGAAACTATTTACTTACTACTTACATCATATTTAGAGGACAGAAAGCAGGTTGTAATGGTTACAAAAAAGGGGAAAGATGGGAGATCGAAGATGTTGTCGGATAACATAGGAATATCCCAAGGAAGTATTTTGGGTCCACTTCTTTTTATACTGTTTGTGATCTACAGCTTTTAATGAATACTTCCTGCTAGCATATGGTAAACTACGCCGACGACACAAATTTAATCATTGGATGTAAAAATCTGCAAGAACTAACTTTAAGGGCCGAGGCATTCTTTAATTTAGTTACAGACTGGTTCATATCAAATAAACTTATTTTAAATAAAGATAAAATGAATGTACTGCTGTTTCAAACAAGACAGAATAAAGTAATAGGGTCGTTACATATCGAGCTTGGTAAGAAGGAAGTAAAGATAATGGAAAATGCTAATTTTTTAGGCATTCACATAAATGAACATCTTGGTTGGTCAGTCCATATAAATAATTTAAGTAAAAAACTAAACTTCATTTGTTATGGCATTAGGGTTGTTAGTAAGTACATGAACGAAAACTCACGGATATTAACGAACAACTAACACTTTGCGAATTTTGAATCGGTCCTTAAATATGGTATTATATTTTGGGGGAAAGCCTGTATGATCCAGCGTATTTTTGTCATTCAGAAAAGAATACTTAGGATTATAAAGAAAATGACTTACTTGCAAAGTTGTAGATCGGTGTTTAAGAACCTTAAGATAATGACGGTTTATGGTGTCATACGAATGTCTAATGTTCTTCTTTAGAAACAAGAACCTTTTTGACATTAGACAAAAACACGAGTATAGCTCCAGAGCATTGGATATCGGTTGTATAGCACATAGGCTATCGCGCACGGAAAGGTGTTATATGTGTATAAAATTGTCTCCCAGCCAGAATAAAAGGTATTTCCTCACAAAAATCGTTCAAAACGGAAATTAAAAATCTGGTAATAGGTTTGGAACCCTATAGTTTAAGAGAGTTTTGTCCCGATATGTGAAACTGTGTGCCCCTTTTGACGACATTTCATTTTGTGTTTGCCCATGATTTGAAATATTCAACGAAAATTCAATGAAAAGTTCAACACCATCAGAAATAATGGACTCTATCGCACTAAAAAACCACCATGTATATAGCCAATCTCACGGTGCAATAATATAGAGGGTGTCTCATTTAAAATATTAAAGTTGTATGTACTTTCCGGTATAAGCGGCACTCTCGCATTGCTGAAAATAATTTAGGCCGATAGATATTGCATGCCTTGCAGATAGAGCGGGCACCGCATTCTCCTTAAACGTCTAATACGCCATCGACCATGAATCACCCTGTATATTGGTTCCAAAAAGGTATGGAAATGGAGTTTTTAGTGTTAGGACGCAGGAGCAGATGTCGAGGGTCGTATCCAGTCGTCGGGTTTCGGTGCAACGGATTAGTACCAGAATTAGAGAACCAGAAGAATCGAGCAGAAGCACACTACAAATTGTTATGTTAGAGGGCGTGACGTCACAAACATGAACGAGCGTTTTTACGATTAAAACAAAATTGAAAGATAAAAATGCGATAATTTGAGCCAACATTTAATTTATTGCAGAAATAATGTTTGTTTTCGGAAATAGCAGGGGTGTACCTACATTATATAACGGTATTTCAAAATCTGTCATCACTGGTTTTTATTGTACAACTGCTGGCTGCTGTTTTAGGCATTCAGTTCTTTTGTAGAAAATCTTGGATCGCGAAGTATGTACACTTTCAAATTCGATTATTATCGCAAGTGACATTCAAACCAAGAAAAATTATGAAATATTACTTTTTAAACATTTCTTTTAAATATGTATAGTTTGTATGTAGATAAAACTGAATAAAATTAACAAATTGTGTATTTTGCGGTATTATTTCGTATTTGAACAGAGGCCACAATCTGTACAAATACGAAATTACACACTATACTACGCAATTTGTTAATTCAATTATGAAATGAATGTTGATGTTAATATGTAATTTTTAGGTATTGAAACATCCGCTAAGCATAACATCTTCGCAAGATGTTTTGTGTAATGCCTTAGTAGGAGCTGCTCATTCAATGTCTGGAGATCAGCGCTTCGTATCAAATCAATTCCTACATCCGTGTTGTTCACACTGTGTAGGCGAAGCGCAAGATATTTGACGGATGTATTGCATTTTCGAAGATGAAAAGTTGGTTGAATGTCCAGTAATGTTATGGCTTATTGATTTCCGTTTTAGAGTTGTAATATATTTCATTGTAAAATTTTTGTTTAACGAGTAATTATTATACTTTCATTTAACCTAGCTAAGTTTTACTGCTTTCAGTTTATTTTATTTAGAAAGTTGTTGAAGGTAGTCTCCCATTACTCCTATTCCTATATGTTTTGATTTTGAGACTACCTAGTGGAAAGCTGAGTCATTCGGTCTACAGGAAACCCAGATACACCGACCGGTATTTCAACAAAAGATCAAACAATCACCCGGGATCATAAAAGAGCGTCATGCAAATCTTGGCCAAAAGCGCTGAGAGGATCTGAGACGCAAATGAACTTGAGAGGGAACTGGGACACTTGGGGAGGGCGTTTACGACAAATGAGAACAGTAATCAGGAGATAAAGAGAATACTCAGGTCGAGAACTTTATATCAAATTGACACTAAAGTGAAAGAAACCGTGGAGAAACAGGACTTTGCGTGCCTGCTCTACATACACATAACCAAAAATAATTGGCAGGATGTTACAGAAACATTATTATACACGGTATGTCAGCCGCTCGAACAAAATTTGTCTGAATGGCGCAATGACGTCACGTGTGTTGCAGTTTCGATCGGTATACCATGGCCACAATGGCATTCCATCAGATTTTATAGCACAGGTTACCAAACTCTTTTTATAGTTTCATAGAGACAGAAACTGAGAATAGTAGTGAAAATACTGATTTACTGAAATCTTTGCCTGGAAAATATAGCCGGTTATGTCGCCCACAGATTTAGAGGAAAATATGAATTAGGTGTGGAAGCAAAAAATATTAAAATTGATGGAACTTCCCAAAATTGGCTGAGTTTCATTTCAAGAGGAAATCTTCTATGCGCAAATGAAAACATGTTGCAAGCTACTAAAATATTGGAATCTGAATTTAATGTTATGCATGGAACGTAATTAGCTTGTGAGAAATATTTATTCAAAAAATTAGCCGACTGCACTAGGAGCAAGCTAAATCCTGATATCATTATTCCTTATGAGGCACTTCTAGGTTTGTCAACAACACGAACTTATATTAGACTTAGAGATTTAAACCGTAGAATTAGTTTTGAAAGTTGTAAACAGCGCTTGAAAAAAAATAGTCAAAATTTACATGTATCAAAAAAAGTCAATTAATGATAATAAATGATATTCATGGAATTTTCTAAGATTGCATTATTTGTATGAAATTAAAAACCGTGTCACAATTAAAGCATAGTTAGGTAGCCCTTTTATCATACAGTTTTTGAAAAAGTGTCCGATATTTCACACGATTCGTCAGGTATTTTTAAGATAAAAATTCATATAAGCATAAGCCGCAAGCCCTTACTTGTCGAGCTACAAGGTATTCAAAAACTGTACTTTTATATTGTTTTCCTAAATCAAGGATTAAGTAGGCTAGTAAACTTCAGGATTCTTCAAGGATTAAGTAGGCGGTTTTATTTCTGTGTATTTATGTCCAAAGATATCAATTGTATATACTTTCCTGACTGTGTTTCAATTCCAAATCAAAATTAATTCCTGGGTTTCAGTCATTTATCGTCTTTATTTATCAATTAAAATACGTTTCGGTGTATTTTTTCACCATCATCAGTTTTTATGTGTAGCGTTGTTGCTGCTTTAAGCCTTGGCATACATTTTCAAAAAACTGCATTCAAAAATGTATGCCAAGGCTTAAAGCAGCAACAACGCTACACATAAAAACTGATGATGGTGGAAAAATACAGCGAAACGTATTTCAATTGATAAATAGAGACAATAAATGACTGAAACCCAGGAAAAAATATCAATGTCAATAGATAATTCAAAAATTATTTAGAAAAAACTCAAATAAAAATACATTTTAGACACCACTGTAGCTCGATAAGTAAGGCCTTGCAGACTCATGCTTATATAAATTTTGTATCTTAAGAATACCCGAAGACTCGTCCTGATAAATATCGGACACTTATTAAAAAACGCCTTGTATTTTCAACTTTATAATACAATATGCGATTTGTGTTTTTATCAGTAATTTTTTGAATTAATTTCAACATTATTGCTATGGGTTTTACTGCAGATGTTGTTGGCAATAAAAATATGTATTATTAATGAAAACAGCAATGTTTAAAACGCTCAACACTGGAAAAGTCAAACTTCATTATGCTGCCGTCGCAAAAAGGTCATAAATTAATCAAATCATCCGCATTTGGCATGCAATACAATTATAAATCGCACGATTCAGCAACACACGTGGCGTTACGATGTGCGACAAAAACAGACAATACTGCGCGTCGACATACCTTGTATAAGTGGAATGTTTCCGAATGGCCAAAAGCCCGTTCTCTCTTACAGTCAAATACAATTACCCCAAATCGAGCGATGACCACCGTTCGATCACAAAGTTCTTCAGCCATGAAAAAATTGAGTTCCATTCTCACACCCTCCCTTCTCGAAGACAAAAAGCCGATTATGCAGACAAAAAGCAATATTTAAGGGCCTTCATCTGGAAATGCCATTAAGCGAAATCCAAACTGAACTTGAAGAAACTTCACCCTTAGCGAAATTCTATTCTTCTGAATGGATAATCTGAAAACAAAAACCAACATGGTCAAAATGCTCTTGCTCAAAAAGCAAACCAAAATCTTTGAGGTCAAGTACCTCCTAAACCTAGCAATAGTGATTGAACCACAAAGAAATTCGTCAGCAAATAACTTAAGGCACATTTCTCAGTGTAAGAGATGCCAAAAATTCGGCCACAGCATGTCCAATAGGGTCGTTGCACAAACATTTTTTTGGTTGAAACCTCTCCCAAACATAGCGTGAGGGTCGTTTAGAAGAATTCCTGAAGCAAATTAAAAAAAGATTGCTTCTCTGGTCTACTTCAGATTTTAGCATAAGTAACCATGTATGACTTAAATTAAATGAACATGAAGCAACACAATTATTTTGATTTAGTAAAATTAGTGCGCTTTCTTTAAGTTTACGTATTTTTGTGTATTGTTCTTTTGTTAAAATTGTAGAATTATTTCATTGAATTTTGTGGCAATTATCAAATGCATGTTGACAAATATGTGATTTATGATATTCTCTGTTTTTTATGTATGATTGGTGTTCTTTGATTATTTTGCGTAATGGTATTGGGGTCTCTCCTATGTAAAATTTATTGCATTCGCAAGGAATTTTATAAATTTAATTTTTAAAGTGATAACTTTTTATGGGATGGTGAACCGATTTTTCTCGGTAACGGCGGCTTCCACTCCGGCCTCTTCGCGCCTCAGGCTTGGGACGGACTTCGACTTTTTTCTCTTAGTGCGGGTGCATCTGTAGATATGATAAACTTTTCAAATACAGATTGCGTTATTAAACTGATAGTGATTTTGATTTATCAATTATTGAGTGTGTTATTATTGTGTTCGGTGCAGTTTATTTTATAACGCTGATAACAATGAATCAACCAATTATCAAAGGAGAAGCTGCAGATACTGCAATACTAGGTTAAGGGTGCTCATGTACTAAATGCCTGTTCGAGTTTCGACTTCTTTTAAATTTCCAATTAAAGTGCTCACACAATTATACACACTAAAGCAGTTTAAGTGCAAAAAATGCGGATCGTCCATTAATTTGCAGAAAAATGTATTACAAACTTTTGAAAATCATCTTCAAACGACCGGGTATTTATCATTGCAAAGGAGATTGCACATTGCCGTGTACTGTTAAATATTGGTTTAGGAACTAACAATCGATGTTGTGTAACAAAATTGTGCCTAAGATCCACGACAATGAAGTTTTTGAAAAACTGTTGGACCTATTTTAAATCGCCTGATGGATTGCGGACGCAAATTCGTATCTAGAAAAAATTAAATTAAATCGTATCGATAGAACCCCGGTACCGATTCCCTATGTCTTACTCTCCGTCTGTAGCCCAGATGCCGCCCATATGATGTCCATTTGCATTGTATTGCACGATTCAAAGTTCCGAACTGGTAAAATATTACTACCTACTTGTTTAGTGATTTTCATCGGAGACAATTGT